AAGTAAAAGTCTCAATCATAAAATGGAAACTTAGACTAGTGGTTCCGAATTATATACTCATCATCGGATGCCATAGAATACTGTAGGATCGTGCGAAGATATAGACCAAGAAAAACACAGGTTCCAGGTTTCAGGTTTTACCTACCTAGAACTTGGAACCTACTCGTCAAAACAGATTCCCTAATTTTTGAAACCTATAACCTACCCTGCATACCATACCTTGGAATCTGAAACCATGCTTAACCCTATTTTCAGGTACCATGTCAACTAGTGCCACCTCGATAATATTTTATCAATAAGATTGACATATGCTGCTACTTTCAAGTCCTGACAACTTTCCGACCAAAAAAATAAGTCCTGACAACTTCTTGATCTTGGCAAGAGCATTAGAGGCTTCGGATACTCAAGCTTGGAGGAGTTCACGGCTAATACCCTCTTGTTTCGTCAGAATCGTTCTCACGACGAAATACCTTTTATCAAAAGTCGTTCTTCAGATTTTAAATAAAAGAAACTGAATTCTTTGGTGATTCCGGACATGAGGTATCCGGGCAGAATATGGAATCAATAGCTTCACTTCGATCGAAACTATACAAACTTGAACCGTGCCGGAGTTTAATCGACGATAAAGTCCGGAAAGTACACAACTTTCAGACCAAAAAAAAAAGTCCTGACCATTTCCTGATAGGCAAGAACATTAGAGGCTTCGGATACTCAAGCTTGGAGGAGTTCACGGCTGATACCCTCTACTATCTGTTAGTGTATGTTTTGTAACTGGGTTTATCGTTGTTCCCCCCGAATGGTGCAAACATATAAACGACGCCTGTAAGGCGTTGTTTGACCCTGAATGAAACAGGCAGCCACCACCTAGCTGGCCCCTATGACATTTCGAGGACGGCCTAAGTCACTCTAATATTCAATTGATTCCCGGATTTTTCATCGTCGAGACGCTTTATAAATAGACAATAGTGCGCTCGCTAAGGATAATGTGCAAGACCACAAAATACCAGCTCATTGTTGTGTCCTTTTCAACCTGAACCCGTTGAAGCTCTTTGCTCTTCTCATCACCCTAATTGCTCTTGGACCAACCCAAGTGATCGGGTTCGGTCCGAGCGAATCTGTACTAGTTGATAACACCACCGGTACTCTGGACACTAGGTTCAGGCGAGAAGTCGGGGCGCTTTACAATGCCAACACTTTGCTGGATGCTTTGGACTTCGTTTTGAAGACTCTCAATCAAACCAGTGGAGGAGGGAAGAACTACACGTCTATAAATGCGACTATCAGTAGCTCTAGGGCAAGTGGAATCGGAAGCTAGCCCCTCCTAGTAGAGATTTCCATAGGCATCCTCATTCTTCTAATCGCCGACTATGTTCAGACTTATATTGGTGTCGACGTAAAAGCCGAGTTTACTGGAATTCTTTATCATGTTTGCGCGGGCGTTTGGCATTGGACTGCCAATGGCATCAGCCCGAGCAACCTTATTACCAGCGTTGCTGATTACGTCAAGTTTACTTCGGAATGGCCGCCAAAGAGTGGGTCCGAAGGGGGTCGGGCTTCAGGTGGGACGATGGGTTGCTGTTATGGCGTGGCTTCCGGAGTACTGTAACGGGCTTAGAGGCGAATTCATTGCCGACCTAAATGCCATGATAAGGTACGACCAGAGTGATGCTTTCTTTGTGCTGCCACTCAAGAAGTCTATGCAGGAATTGTGAGACGACTGCAAACTAGAATATGGAGGCAACCCATTGGCACCTGCACCTGTACCTATACCGGCACCAGCACCGGCACCGGCACCGTTCAGGATGTTAATTGAATAAGAAAGCCGTCATAGGGGCTTTTAAAGTTGTTTTCCTGTTAAACTTATCCAATAAGGTTGGGGAGGAGAGACTAAAATAAGAGAAGAAATGATACTGTAACATATACTTGCCTTTTTCAAAGCAAAAAACCACATAATTCATTGAATTATGACCCCATGATGGATGGAATAGTACGAGAAAAGGTTTCATTTCAGAAAAATAAAGACACTAGAGAATCTATCCAAACAACACGAACACAGAAGTCTCGTCCAGAAAAGTACGCAATTTGTGTGCTGAGACTAGCAGAAGCTTTGAACATCTAATAAAACCGTACATCAAATTTTGTCGTCGTCAACCTCACGCAATGTGCAACCACAGCATATTTTTCAGTTGATTCATAGCGTAAATAATCGAAAACGATGGTTTTGACTCCAATTTAGTTTCTTAGCAGAAGCTCAAATGTTATGGAATCGATCGGTCTTTGAACCTTCAAGTACATTGGCAATATGATTGCACTTTTGCTTCTCAATTAAATCCATATTTTCAATTTCTTCAAAACTGGAGAAGAACGAACGAAGAGAAATGACCGTCTTGCACGCTTTCTCCGCCCCTTATTACATTTGAAAATTAGACCAGACAAAGTATACTTAATTGAACTTACTGATATACCTCATTATTATTCCTCTTCAAAGCGTTGAAGCGGTTTGATGCATTAGTTTCAAGTACGCCTTCGTGATACCGTGAAAGAAAGGCCGATGCTATAGTCATTTACTTGAGTAGATGAAACGAACAAATGATTACATTATGGCTCACGAAATGGATTAGCATGTTCTAATTGTGTTTGAAATAAGGTTTAGAAAATTTAATTTTCATGAATCATCTGCTGTCAACATTGAAAGGACATAAGAATGCACAACTCCCCATGTTTCCAAACGGTCTCTTATTTATCTACCATTTGACAAATCATCTTCCCTAAAAGAAGATTAAACGAAAATCAAACTCATGACCTACGATCCGATATTTATTAAAACTGTCAATTCAAAAGGTTATGTAGAGGGAAACTACTTATATTCAAAACCAAACAAATACCATGGATAAACAATGTGAAATATTTTGACTATTAAGTAGAGGAAAACTATACGTATATGAAATTCAAATATATCGTAGATGAGTAATGTGAGATAACTTAACACCTACCTTCACATGCAAGTGAAACAATGCCAATTACATGTTCTTACATTCTTGAACTGTTTAACAATCATAAGATAACATGTCTTGTTTGATTTACAATGGGTTGCGAATTAACTGTTTGTCGCTTAATTTGGGTCACGTTGTGTACTTCCAAAGATGTATGTACTGTCCAGTGACTTTATACACTTCAGCAAATGTAACTCCATACAATATAATTAGCAAAATTAGCCAAATGATGTCTTCTCCCTTGGTACAATTGATTGACTACCACACCTGATCTCAAAGCAAAGCAGTCCCAGAATCAACTGTTAGTCTATACTGTAAGATCGATCATGAACATTACCTACGATTGCATGGCGTAGAAGAGATCTTGCCAAGCAATACAAATCCAAAGTGCCTCTTTAGAAAAAATTAGGTGCAATGAGAAGTTCCAATGTATCTGGGTCTCGATATTAGACACCCAAAAGCTTCAAGCAACTAGATGTAGGTGCAGAGTGAACCGCCGCTCAGGGTCTTTGTCAAGTGATTCATCAGGTCTCCATGAAAATCTTTGGAATAACTCTTGATACAACGAATTATAGTTGCAAGCTCCGGGATGGAGGCGTAGGGTCCAATATTTCGCCATCTTTTCCCCGAAACACAGACACATCAATGGACCCATCAATGAACTAAATTAAGTTCAGATACAGAAAATCTACTGGCTTCAAACCCCAGAGCACAAGACTAGAGAGCGTAAAAGAAAGACTCCCATTTCATGTATAAGGACACAAGTGGTTTTGCACGTAAAATCTCACTCTGATGTGGACACAGAAATACCACAATCTTCGGCCATGAAGCAATGATTCGAGAACATGCATACTCAATGACATGAGGGAAATGCTCAAGGGTCTGCATGCAACTTCAGAGAACTGAAGTATCTGGCATCTATTTAAGTGATAAAATGATACAAAAGAGAGGTAAAGGGAAGGGAGAAGGAATCCAATGACATTGAGTATGGCATTCTAATTAATATGTATATAATGTTTTTTTTTTTATAACCGAGGTATCCGCGCGGCCGGCGAGCTAGGGCTCAAACTAGCGGTGATGCCCGACTAGTCCTCGAGGAGGGCTAGCGCAGCATCCCACCGCCACGACCCTCCACTTAAATCACCGATGGGCGAGTTTGAACTCAGGACCTCTCGTGAAAGGAACTGAGCGCAAACCAACGCGGCCACCGATGGGTGGGTAATATGTATATAATGTTCACATATATATAACCAAAGAAAACGAAAAACATAACGATCAATAAGTCTTGATCAGGAGAAGACATTCTGAAAATAGACACCATGAAATGCTCAAACAATCAGGTGCACTTTGCAGCACTTTAATCCCTTGGGTAGCTTCCACAAGTGCTCTATCAGGTCTCCTTCAAAATGCTAGGTACAGTTTAAGGCACAATGCATTAACCTTTTTTGTCCAGAGTGTAATTATCCCCCGAAATTTTGACATATCTACATGCAGGCAGCCAGGCAATAAAGATTGCTTCTGTAGGATTGTCAGAGTAAAGAAACTACCACCAATGAGAATATAAGATTTAGCATGAGCACGGACCACAATGTTATGGCATAAAAGAGGTCATGCCACACAATACGAACCAAAGGGGCTAATCAAAAGAGCTTACATACAATGAGAAAGTCTCGATGTATTCAGATCCCAGCACTTGACATCCTACAGTATTTAATAGTTAGATGTATCGTGCAGCATGAACCAGTCAAATTCGATATCTCCACCAAGCATTGCCTCAAGTCTCCAACAAGATCTTCAGAACTCTCGTCACAGTAAATAACTAATTCTTTCAGAGCTTTAGCTGTCCTAAGCAAGACCCTAATAGCTGAGATCTCCGCATCAGTTGCATAAAAAAAGCGAAGGGTGATTTTCTTGAGCGATGATAAGAAACAAGGAGGCGTAGGGTCCAATATTCCGTCAAATGTTTGAAAAAACACATCCAGTCTCTGTATCGCAATATCAGATCAGTTAGCTATTGCCCCCACCAGAAGTATGCAATTGCAGTACACCGGAAAAGGTACAGTAATAAATCACCTCTTCAAATTCAAGACTCCTCAAAAAAGGAGATCTTCTAAGTATCACTCCAAGTTGGGTACACTCTAGGCTCCCATCTCCATCCCCGACAGCCAACTTGGTAAGGTTATGAAAAACTGGTAGAGTGTTATGGAGCTCATTGTGCTCATCCAAATCTTACTAACAAATTAAAAAAGCAGTGAACCACACTAGAGAAAATGAACACTGAGTTTTAAAAGGAATGAACATGCATAAGAGGTAAATCCAGCATATCAAATGAATATCATGGAGGGTGCGGGAAAATAGTATAACTTGACAACTTCACCCAGTAAGGTCAGCTTTTTGACATTAGAAAGTTTCCTTAAGAGCTTATATCCACGGTGTATTTGGTATACTGTTGGATGACTGCCCATATCCACATTAATGTAAGCCTCAACTAGCAAGTCAAAGCCAGATATGTTATAGTCACAGAAGAGCTCGCCACAATAGTAGAAGCGCGTGAGACTGGCTCCATTGATCAGTACTTGGCCATTTCGTCCATCATACTCATCACATACACCTATATTCAAGCTCGAGAGATTAGGAGAGGAAATTTTAAGAACTTTGAGAGCCGTCCAGCTGCACCTTGTGAGACGCAACTCCTGTAGGGCAGGGAATGAAAACATCTCTCCAGTATAATCATTGTCCACAAAATTGACTTGCTCAAGTCTTAAGACCTTTATACTCCTAAAACAAAATAAAGAAGGAATTCTGAGATTATTTAGCATTTCTAGATCGAATTTTGTCAGTGTCTTGCACCTAAATAGGCAGCAAGGTAACACGTATGGCTGTTCAATATCATATAGTTGTAGGTCGAGCTCCAGCACGTTGCGCCTGACCGTGGCAGCAATCCACACATTGATGCGGGGCGCATCAGATTGCTTGCTGCACGAGAGAGTGAAAGCATTCAAAGAGGAGCAGTCCCGACACACAAGTGCTCTATCCACGAAATTCATGAAGAGTGTCCGGTTAGGGAATTCAATTTCGTCCAAGAGAAGATTACGGGTGGAAGTCCACAAGTACTCCCATTGTCTCGCCAACACGCTCGTTCTCACAGCATCTTTCATAGGAAGCAAATCTAAGATGCGCAGAAGCAGAGCATCGGGTATGTTGCGGAAGCCAAGCGATCGAACAATAAAATTGACAGAAAAAGAAAATAAATCGGACACCAGATTTACGTGATTCGGTCGTAGTGACTTACGTCCACGGGGAGAGCAGCACGGAATTCCACTATAGATCAGGCGATACAACGGAGATTACAACCACACTCGAGTCACTCAAACACTCTCAGTGTTTCCCAAGCCCCAATTACACCCAATAACTCACACAGTGTTTAGCCCCACAATTCCTCACGAAATAATCTCTCAATCTCGTAAACGAATTATACACAAATCTTATCACAAAATTTACGCTTAAACACTAATTCTTCTTGGATGTAATTCACGAACGAAATCAACTGCCAAGCACTCGCAAGCAGCGGCGCTTCAAGAAGTCTTCGCTCTTGCTCTGGACCCAGGCTTCACGAAAACCACTCTGCTTTTTATCAACAATCGTTCATCAGGGCTCCTCTATCCGAATATTTATATGCATATAAATGTGAGCCCCTTCTTCTTTTCCGACTTCATCAAGGAAGGATAATTCTTATCCTTTTATTTCTTTCTTGTCTCGACCAATCAGCAAACCCAGAAGTCCACACGGAAATTGATTTCCGTATATTCCCCAACAGAGTCCAAGTTGGACTTTCTGTTCCACGCCCAAGACTCAGACGCATATTCGGAAAGCTAATTTCCGAAACTTGGCTTGGATTCTTCTTTTCTGTCCTTTTTACTCAATTTCGGATGTCCGCAAAATATTAATTCGGAATATTCAGATTTTCGCTTTGGGCTTAAACTCGAGACATATATTCAACAATCTTCATCTTGGCTCGACGTTTGAGCCAAGTCACAATCGCTTTGATAGAAATCCGAATTCCGCTACTACTCTCCCACAGCCCCAATGGGCTCAACCGCCACAGATGTCTTTCAAGTCCAAGCCTCGCTTGAACTTCGCCATAGCCGTGGACTTCATCAGAATACCAACTCCACATGCACCTTTAACCGCTCCACAAGGATTTTCCGACACAATCTCCTCAATCACAGATAAAGCAAAACCATCATTGCATCCATATCTGTTCGAAGATCGAATACGCACCTTATCAATATCAGCAGTTACAGCAACTGTTGGCTCAATAGGCTCCACCTCGCTAAAAGCACCATCCGTGTCGATTACTTCGCTAGCACCCGCTACCTCGGGAGTTTCTGGTTGCAACTCCACCTCAAGCTGAACACCGTCCAGATCCGTATAAACACTGCTACTAACACTCCTAGCCAGAAGTACTGAAGACTCGTCAAATGTAACTTCTCTGCTGATAATAGGTGAATTTAATTCCGGGCACCACAACTTATAGCCCCGCTCACCTTGTGCATAACCTAGGAACATGCACTTTCTTGTCCTTCCATCGAGCTTACCATCACTAACTCGAACATAACATGGACAACCAAATATTCTAAGAATAGAATAATCAGCAACGTTACCTGACCACACTTCTTCGGGAGTCCGACATTCAATCGCAGTCGATGGGGATCTATTCTTCAAGTAGCTCGCTGTACTAAGCGCATCCGCCAGGAATCTCCTAGCCATACCAGCACTAGAGAGCATTTTATGGGCCGTCTCTAGTAATGTTCTGCTCATCAACTCCGCAACATGTTGTGGCTCATTGGCACTAGTGCGGTGTTTCACTATGCCTTCCTTCATGTAGAATTTGTTTAACAGCTCTGAGCAAAACTCCATACTACTGTCAGTCTGCACCTGCTTGATCGTTTTACCAGTCTCCTTTTCGATCAAAGCTCTCAACTGCATGATCCTAACAACAGCATTAAACATGTGCCTTAACACAAACACCCAAGTCTTCCTCGAGTAGTCATCAACAACTGTTAGCATAAATCTGGCACTTTTCCTCGAAGGAAATCGCGACAACCTGCGAACATCTAAGTGAATCAATTCTGCAATTTCCGTGGTTTCCTTAACAATCGTACTGAACTGCACTTTCCGCCGTTGATCTAAATCACAGCACCTGCATATATTCAGTTCGTTAGCCACATAACCACATAGCAAATTTCTTTCACTTAGAGCCTTCAGGCTTCTCTCGCTAATGTGCCCCAAACGCATATGCCACAATTCAGACTCTCGAACCGATGTATCCGACGTCTCCGCAGCGAATTCCGTCACTGTCTCACCTTGAAGCTCATACAGGCTACTATGCTTGATTCCTTTCATTATCACCAAGGCACCTCGAACAACTTTCAGAACTCCACATTCTGAAGAATATCGACACCCAACTGAATCTAGGGCACTCAAGGAAATCATATTTTTCTTCAACTCTGGAACATGCCTTACTCCAGTCAATGTCCACACAATACCATCATGCATTCTAATTCTAACATCACCAACACCAATAACATCGCATTCAGAATTGTTTCCCAACTGCACTTTACTACTATCCGTGCACTGATAAGTAGTAAACCAGTTTCTGTTTGGTGTAGCATGAAAAGAACAACCAGAATCCATAATCCATCCATCAAACGATGAATTATCAGTGACAGACAAGACAAAATCAGCATTATCCGAATTACTGTCTGCTATAGCTGCAACATCATCCGCAGACTCAACTCTAATTCCCTTACCCTTCTTGTTTTTCAGCTTAAGGCAATCCCTTCTAAGATGCCCCCTCTTGCCACAACTCCAACAGACAATACCACCAGTCCTAGACTGACTTCGTCTATTCGAGTTCATACTACTTCTGCTAACACGTGTACCAGTTCTTCCTCTATTTTCACCTACTAAAGCAGCAGATACATGTTCGCCAGATTCTCTTCTACGGATGTCCTCACTTAGAATTAAATCTCGAACACCATCAAACGTCAAACTTGTTGACCCAGAGGAATTACTAACAGCAGTAACAGTAGTATTCCAACTATCAGGCAATGAAGATAATAGAATCAAAGCACGTACCTCATCTTCAAAGTCAATATCAACTGAACTCAATTGACTAACGATCACATTGAATTCATTAATATGATCAGCAACTGATGCACCTTCGCTCATCTTCAAATTAAACAGACGTCGCATCAAATAGAACTTGTTGATTGCAGAGGGCTTCTCGTACATGTCCGACAGGGCTTTCATCAAACCCGCAGTGGTTCTCTCTTTCACGATGTTAAACGCGACGTTACGTGCCAACGTCAGCCGAATAACACCCAAAGCTCGTCTATCTAGCAATTTCCAATCAGCTTGCTTCATCGTCTCTGGCTTCTCTCCAGACAAGGGCAAGTGCAATTTCATCTGATATAGATTATCCTCAATCTGCATCTTCCAGAAATCAAAATCTTTCCCATCAAATCTGTCGATTCTCACTTTTCCTTCTTCTATCGCCATCGATTCGCTTCAACTCAGCCAAATCTAGCTCTGATACCAATTGTTGCGGAAGCCAAGCGATCGAACAATAAAATTGACAGAATAAGAAAATAAATCGGACAACAGATTTACGTGGTTCGGTCGTAGTGACCTACGTCCACGGGGAGAGCAGCACGGAATTCCACTATAGATCAGGCGATACAACGGAGATTACAACCACACTCGAGTCACTCAAACACTCTCAGTGTTTCCCAAGCCCCAATTACACCCAATAACTCACACAGTGTTTAGCCCCACAATTCCTCACGAAATAATCTCTCAATCTCGTAAACGAATTATACACAAATCTTATCACAAGATTTACGCTTAAACACTAATTCTTCTTGGATGTAATTCACGAACGAAATCAACTGCCAAGCACTCGCAAGCGGCGGCGCTTCAAGAAGTCTTCGCTCTTGCTCTGGACCCAGGCTTCACGAAAACCACTCTGCTTTTTATCAACAATCGTTCATCAGGGCTCCTCTATCCGAATATTTATATGCATATAAATGTGAGCCCCTTCTTCTTTTCCGACTTCATCAAGGAAGGATAATTCTTATCCTTTTATTTCTTTCTTGTCTCTGACCAATCAGCAAACCCAGAAGTCCACACGGAAATTGATTTCCGTATATTCCCAGCAGAGTCCAAGTTGGACTTTCCTGTTCCACGCCCAAGACTCAGACGCATATTCGGAAAGCTAATTTCCGAAACTTGGCTTGGATTCTTCTTTTCTGTCCTTTTTACTCAATTTCGGATGTCCGCAAAATATTAATTCGGAATATTCAGATTTTCGCTTTGGGCTTAAACTCGAGACATATATTCAACAGGGTAGATCACACAATTTCCTGCAGCTACTAACATCCGTGTTCTTATTCCTCTTTTGACATTTAGCTTCCCCAGCCAGAGAAGTTGCATCCATGGCTTCCATAAACCTTTCCACTCGGAAGACTAATCTAAAAGGAGGGAACGAACCGATGCCTCAGAGGACAAGTCTTGGCAAATAAATCACCAAATATCTTACACAACAGTCAGCACAACAGAGAATAAACGAACTTTTCCTCAAACTTTAGCAAGTGCGCTTCAACGATTGATGAAACAGAACAAGAACGGATTCAGAGACAAAACCATGGCAAAATTACTGTGACCCATGAATGTGAACCCCATCAAAATGCAGCATTGGAACAAGACAGATTTGGCTAAAAACAGCAGCAACTTCACGTGACGCACCCTCACAACCGGCTAAAACTGCCACCCTCTTCCTTAAATTACAGAAACAACAGATTAACCACAGCATTAACAATGAAGCCCCTGATGGGTTTCGCTCGACAGAAGACTGACTAGCGCAAGAAAATGGCAACCCCAGAGAAAACAACTCGCTGGTCTCACGGACCGAAGGCGGCAAGGGAGCAAGGAAAGCGGGGTAGAGAGCAGAGCTCGAAGTTGTCAGCGAACAGTGAAGATTACCTTTGCGTTTTCTACGCTCGAGCCATGGCATTCGTGTGCCACTGCAGCACCGAGCGTGATGGGCTGGGGAGTCCCAGAGAGAAGGAACAGGGAGGGAACTGTGTAGTAGTCATGAAAGCCGGAAATGGTAAGGCGTGGCCGGGGCAAGCTAGGCCCGGTATCGTAAAATTACGCCCAATTCCACGAAAAAGGATTATCTTTATTTTGAGTGACAATTTTGGCCAGAATTTTTTTTTATCTTGTAAAAAATCACTAATAATTTGAAAATTTCACATCACGGGATCAAATTTGGGATTCGAGTAAAAGTTAGTGCTTTTTATTGAGACAACAAAAAAATTCGAGCCAGAACTATCACTCAAGGTAAAATTGATGCTTTTTTTTTTTGGAATTAGCCCCATAAAATTAGGTTGATACCATTAATGCACGATTACGTTCTGTTTGTTTCATGAAAAATGAATAGTCCGGAACCTAAAAATAATCAATCATGTCCCTTGAAATAATTAGCCAATAAGAGATATTTTCGGGAAAAGTGTCAGCAAAGTCCTAAACCCTAAACTTTTTTCATTGATGTTAATTCAGTCTTAAACCTTTTTTTGGTATCAATTCAGCCCTTTCGGCTAATTTTGGCCGGAATTTGCTGATGTGGATACCAGTCGGCCTACGTGGCACTGCCGGCGATAACGTGGACAACTTTTAATAATATTTTAATAATTTTTGAATATTTTTATTTATTTATTTTTAAAAAATTCTTTTTTTCTTTTTTTTTTTTCCTTTCTTCTTCCTCCAGCTGGTCGCCGGTCCGGCGATTGGCTGGAGGCCAGGGCTGACGAGCCTCACCGGCCAATGGCGAGGCTCGCCCTCGCCAGCGATGGCGAAGGTGAGCCTCGCCAACGGCTGGGTGGGGCATGATCTCACCGAATTTGGTGAGGTCGAGCCTCACCCATGATCCAATGAGGGCAAGCCTCGTCCAACCCAGCGCAAGGCTCGAGCCCTCGCCGGATGGCCGTGAGGGCGGCCTCGAGCTGGGCTGGGCGAGGCGCAACCTCACCGGATCTAGCGAGGTTGAGCCTCCCGCATGGCCGACGAGGCTTGACCCTCGCCAGATCCGGCGAGGGTGAGCCTTGCCCAGCCCAGTGCGAGACCGCGACGGCGAGGGTCGCCCTCGCCAGTGGCTAGCGAGGCGAACCTTGCCGGCCCTGGCCTCCAACCGGTCGCCGGATCGGCAACCGGCTGGAGGAAGGAGAAAGGGAAAGGAAAAAAAAGAAAAAAATAAAAAATAAATAAAAAAATTCGATAAATATGAAAATATTATTAAAAGTTATCCACGTCATTGCCGGCGGTGCCATGTAGGCCGACCGACGTCCACATCAGCAAAATCATGCCAAAATTAGCCGAAAGGACTAAATTGACATAAAGACAAAATGTTTAGGACTGAATTGGCACCAAAAAAAGGTTTAGAACTAAATTTGTACCAATGCAAAAGGTTTAGGACTTTTCTGACACTTTTCTCGAGATATTTCCATTGCTGACAACAATTTATGTCTAGGCATTTTCATGGGCGATGAAAATTTTCTTGGTTCATTCATTTTTGTAAGCGGTACAAATGATCATTTTTAGGAATATATTTTCGAAATCATTCATTTTCTGCGAAACAATCGGAGCCTTATTTCAGATTAATTTCAGTCTCGTGAAATCTATGACACATGTACTCCAAACTAATTAATTTACCTCTAGAAAAGTCTCAAATTGATATTTCTAACTCAAACCCTTCAATAAAATGTATACGTGTCAACACATATGGATTTTCTACGTTAGATCTATTATTTTTCACGCTAGATACATTTCGCAGTAATCTGCCACGTGCATTGACATCTATGTATCTTTTGAAATGCTGACGGAAGGTACACTTTGATTAGGGTATCAGATTGGATATTTTTTTAAGACGAAAATTAATTTTGGCTAGAAGTGTTGCAGAATACCAATTTGAGATTATTTTCTAGACGAAAATTAGCTTGAGGTAATTGTGTTGCAAAAATATCAATTTGTGATTTTTAATGGTATTGACCTTATAAAGTTCCGGGCCAGTAATGCCCGCGAAAAACTCGAATTTTACTTCATAGATTGAGGATGATCCACTAAACCAGTCAAAAATCTTTGAAAAACAATTAGCAGAAAATTTGTTTGTGATGTCTCGTATTCTGTTCTTTGTTCTCTTGAGCATCCTGTCTCTTGCGGTTGATCTCCAGGGCGTTGTCTCAAGCCATCTTAGCTTAAGCTTTGCTTGACTGTGGCTGGTGAGAGGGAGATGAACTTGAACAGATGACAGAAGCAGAGGATGCAATCAGCACAAGCAATCTATGGCGATTCCGGTGTTCATTTCCTGGATGACCCTCTTAGTGCCGTGCCGTCGATGCATGCACTTGTCTTTGCAAGGCATGGTTCGAAGCTTTGCAACTTAACTTTACAAGCGCCCGCTCCAAGCAATTTGATCTCCAGGGTTCTGAACTCCTGGGTGTACCAAGCGTTTCATCAAGTCGCCGTCAAAATGTATAGACGTTTGTTTAAGAACTTTAGCTGTCCTAAGCTAGATTCTTAAGGCCAGAAGCTTACTTTCGGGCATTGCCAACATCTCAAGCAATGAGGTACAGTACTACCCAGACGGCACGGGATTATGGTTGGCTCAACATGCGAGTCTAAGCCAAATAGGTTATAGTCACATAAGAGCTCGCCACAGAGGATGAGGGACTTCAGATCTGCTGCATTTCTAAGTACTAGACAATTGCCTGTACTATGTACGGAGCAGTCGTGCATAGACAAGCTCAAGGGCTTTGTTGCAGAAAGTTTTAGGAACACTTTGAGACATAATTTTTCAAGGGCAGGTGCTAAAAACAGCCTTTTCAATTTAACCATCACCCACAAAATCGATGTGCTCGAGTGTTAAGACCTGTAGACTCGTGAAAGAATCTAATGAAGGGATCTTGAGAGAACTCGTTGACAAGCGGAGAGTAAATTCTGCTAGCGTTTCACAACTAAAAATGCTGCAAGGTGATGCAAAGGGCCATCCTATCCCCCAAAGCGATAGCTTGAGTTCCTGAACATTGCATCTAATCGATGCAACGATCCAGGCATTCATTGGAGATGCATCACGACCCGCGATGCATATGAGAGAGAATTGGCTGAAAAAAGATTGATTTTTCTCAATGAACTGAGTCGACCCCTTCTCTCTCTCTCTCTCTTTCTCTTCAGAAAGGTCAAAGCCAATGAAGCCTTCTAAAATTCGTATCCATATCTCGCATCTCCTAAGGAAAGTGAAGTCGAGTCAAATTCCTCAAAGCATTCATTCTCCAGGTAAATCGAATGCTAGATTCTCTGACATGCTTAGCTTCAGTCGACTTATGTTTCGGTACTCTCTTTTTTCGCCGGTGACCGAAACCATGGCAATCTTCAATGCAGTGAATGAACTGGTGGAGCTGTTGAAATCAAATTCTCCATGATTGTCTGATCAATTGGTGATGAACTATGGTCATACTGTGCGAGTGCTTTGTGGTGATTATCAATTTGTAATGCTGTTGCTGAAACTTTTGCTGTTCAGGATTTTATTTTACTCGAAGCTGATTATGTTGGTGGGAAGTTTGCAATCCACGCATTAATGCGAGCATGTCCCCCGATGCATGTAAAGATGGTGTTAAATTTACTTGATACATCAAATAAGTGCAAGAGAACGCAGAAATGCCCGACAACCTCCATCGCAATTCTTCTCCCGTTTACATCCCCGCCAACAAGCATGAACATTGTCAGGATGTCTGTATTTGATAAATGAGATCGTACACTATAATAAACAATGATGAGCCTGATCAAAAAAAACTATACACAGCGAGAAGTCAAAGAAACATTACGACCGCAGCTGTAGACACCCGAAAGGTTCAAATAACAAAAATTATCCTTCACCAACCTGCCTTGGTTGGGGACACGGCGAACTAAATTTAGTCTGTGGTGTTTTGGCGCACTAGCTCCGCCAAGTCTCTGATCAAGTACTCATCAAAACCCAAATGATCTCCAGGACGACTTAGGATAATTTCCTCTAGAACTTTAGCGGTCCTAAGCAAAATCCTTAAAGCTAACATCTCTGCCTCCGTGCCAAAAAATGCACCTACAGTGATTCTCTTGAGTGACGACGAGAAGCAAGGAGGGGGAGGGTCCAGTATCCCATCCACCAATCTATGGTCCACACGCAATCCCTGAATAAAAGAATCAGATCAATAAGCTTTCGAGTTTGCAGGGAAACTATTCTTGATAGCAGTAGTCTATGAAGGAGCTACATTAGGAAATCACCTTAGTAAATTCAAGATTCTCCAAACGGGGAGATCTTCTAAGGATCGCTGCCAGTGTTGGCGAAGACAAGCACATGACTCCAATGGATAGTTTCAACGTTATAAGATTACGGAACACCGGGAGGGCATCATGGAGTGGACTGTCGATCTTTTAAGAGCAAAGGAAAGAACAGTGAACAACAACAGAAGGAACAACCCTGAACTTCTTGAAGCATTAGACATATATAACAACTGAAATGACGCCTAATGGGACATATCATAAGCAAGTAATGAAGAGAACAAAGAGTCATACCCGGAAACTAAGGCCCCTTAGTGTCAGAAACTTTACATTTAGAAGGCCTTTTAAAGGCCTATGCCAACGGTCGACTGGATCAGACCGTGCATAGGGCACATAATCCACATAATCCACTTCGACCATAGCCTCAACCGGCATGGATGAGCCAGATATGGTGTAGTCATAGAGGAGCCCACCCGAGCAGTAGAAGTACTTGAGACCGGGTCCATGGATCACTATTTTGCAATTACCATTGCCACTACGATCCCCATCACATCGCGCTTCAGTTACACGCAAGCTCCGAAGCTTGGGAGCAGACACATTCAAAACTTGGAGATCTGCCCAGTCACATTTATTAAGAAACAACCGCTCAAGAGCAGCGCCTGAGAGCATCCTTTCCGTGGAAACATCGTCCACAAACTTGACATACTCGAGAGTTAAGAGCTTTAGACTCGAAAAACGAACTGAAGAAGGAACTCTGAGAGTATCCGGAAAGCATAGATCAAGTTGTGTCAGCATTTCACACCTAAATAGAGAGGAAGGTAGAGCCGGCGGCTCTATGTGTGAATAGAGTTCTAACTTGAGATCCTGAACGTTGCACCTTACCGCAGCATCAAGGCATGCATCAATGCGAGATGCATCATTGTTGTCTAAGGCACATCTGAGAGAGAAAACTCTTATAAAGGAGCGGTCACGCAATAGTAATGCTCTTTCCAAGAAATTCAGGAAAAGCATCCCATCACGGCATTCACACTGATCAAAGATTAGATCACAGTGGGAAGTCCACAAATATTCCCACCTTCTCGACAACACGCTTGTTTTCACGGCATCTTTCATTGGAAGCATACCTAAGATGCTTTTAAGCAGACCATCAGGTAGATCACATATTCGCTTGCAGCTATTAACACGCGTGTTTCTATTCCTGTTCTGATTCGTAGCTTTCGGAGCCATAGACATTGGCAACCTTCACTCACACAAGCACTCGCAGCTTTATGGCCAACCTCAGCCTAGAATATGAAGGGAAAACAAGATAAGAAACTGTCGACTCGGTAGACAACCCTTGGCAAATCAATCACCAGTTCTGCACTAATCATACTTGAGCAGTGGAAAAAAAAACAAAACAATACTTGATGTTGATCGCCATTCCTTGCGCTCGAAAAACTGTTCTTTGCTCAGTTTTGATGGCACAGATTCAAGGATCCCCATGTATAGTCACTTTAACAAGTACACACAACACAAAGGCGGCATTTTTAACCAACAAAAGAGCTGCTGAACGTATAAAAATGCAATCTTGCGAGTGAAAAATCAACTTTTCGAAACGATCGACACAATATGCGTAGTGGGCTAACAACTGTAGCATCGGTTTCGCGTAATGCGCGACACCACGACAAGATGCCCGGGTTTAGTCAAGAAACCCCAGAACGTATTTGCATGCAAGACAAAAGCATACCAGTGAACAAAAACTCGAAAGTATCAATGAGGAGTGACGACGACCTTGTTCTCGCTAGCAGGTGATCAAGCCACGGCGACAGATGATGAGCCAGGAACTCCAAGAGTCTCATGCTTTAAAAGACCTTTGGATTCTCATGCATGTTGCACGTCGCATTCGAAATTCCCGGGCTCGCGGCAACATGATAATCATCCATGTACCATTTTAAAATCAGAAAATTCTTCTTGATTTTTCAAACGAGTCTTAGTTGATGCGGTTTGTCGTTCGAACTCGGTCTAGATCGTATTTTGAAACTGGGGTGACTCGGATTCAAGCTGGAGAGCTTGATCAGGTCGACACTTTGTGTAGAATGGTCTGCTTGGGTGTAGCTACATGGGTATCACATGCATTATAGAACAGATTCAAGTCTCTACATCTGGTATACACATCTTTGTGGCAGCACAGATTGAGGAATACGCGAATTGGGGAGCATGTCTAGCTTCTGAGATTACAGGAAGCAATTCCCTTGGAATGCGCAGGCACGCCGCCATTCGTGTTTGGTAATAGTCAGCGGATCTAAGTAGGAGTCCTAAACTTTTTTCATGTTTTGCCATTTTTTGGGGAAATTACCAAAAAAATTCTAAATCTATTTGGCACTTGTGTCAATTGAATCGTGTACGTTTCAATTGTGCAAATTGAGTGCTCAAACTTTTCACGTTTTGCCAATTAAGTCCATCCAATCAATTTTAGCCGGAAAACGACGACGTGAACGCCGGTTGTGCCACGTAAGACGGCCGGCGCTGACGTGGACAATACATTATATTTTTTTATTTTCTTTTTATTTCTTTATTTGTTTTTTACTCTCTGAACTTGGTAGAAAAAAACAGAAAAAAAGAACGAAAGAAGAGTAAGATAGGTGATAATGATGTGTTTAAGATTATATGCTTGCGCAAAGTATATGGTACTTTTTCGCCACGTTTTCCGTATGTAACCAGTAAATTTTAACTTATTGATTTTTCGTTTATCAACTTCAGTCTTATAATCTTATATTTGATCTTGAAGTACAGTTTTTTAAAGATATATGTTAGTTTAAAAAAATAATCGTGATAGTGAAATTTTCAATTCAACTTTAAAACTTCATCTCTTTCGTTTTGAAATTTGAAGAAATAGGCAATGATAAAATATTTTGAAATACATTTTTTAACTGACATATACCATTTTGAATAAAATTCATGACCGGAAAGATATCCATTTAGTTTAAAGTCAAGTAAAATGAGAATTATCTCGTTATGTCAATGCCATAGATTAGGAAGGTTAATTTGAAAATAATTGATGATATCAGACTATATATAGTTACGTATACATTGAAAATATTAAATTGAGATGTACATAGACAAACTACTCCTAATTTGATATTTAAATTTGTTTGCGCCCAAAAATGATCAATTTTTTGTTATTATTAACGTGCGATAGACTTAGTCGATAAGAACAGAGTTTGGTCATTTATTATTGACAATGTGAAGAATCAACAACTTGATGAATCGACAGTTTGAAGGAATCAACAAAAAGTGGAGTTGACAATATCGGATGCAACCATCAAAGAAGTAATCACCAACGTAGTGGAATAAAGTAACTGTCAACGTAGTGGAGTCGAAGAAACCGTCAAGATGGAGACAACATATCCGTCGATAACCGTTTGTAACTACCGTTGTAACCTATGTTGTAAGCGCTATTTGTAACCTCAGTGATTGTAGATTTTAAATAGCCACATCGTACTCTTCGAAAATCCCTCGACAAATCAATCAAAATGTTATTTTTCAATTATTTTTACTTTCACGTACTGCACTTTATTTTTCCTTAAATGTAGCATTTCGATTCGCATCGTCGATTAAATTTCGGCATGTATATCTATCCTGATGTTGTGTCTTCAATTAAATTCCGGTACAGTTTACATTCTCAAGTAAATTTGTCACAGGTGTACTAGTTTGGGGTTTTTCGTGGTATTAACCCAAAGAAGAACGGATCATGATCACTCAAACTATTAAATGCATCACACTATTAAATGCATCACACAATAAATAATTAAAAATTGGTCTATTAGACTCACTAAATAAAATAAAAGTTGAGCAGTTAAAATATACTGACTACAATGTAATGACACATATTAAAGTTATAATTAAAACGAATGCATATCAAAACTAATAGATGATTTTTTTTACTCTTACTTGTGCTTAAGTTATTTTTTGAATACTGGTTTTATATTACAAAAAGAATATACAACTCATTAACAAAATAGTTAGTTTTTTTTTGTCGAAAACACAATAATTAGTTAGCTATTTACCAAATAACCTATTTTTTGGAAAAGAGTTACACCAATTTTGTTATAAATGGAGAAAGGAAAGGAAAAACCAAAAAAGAAGAAAAGAAGGCAAACAATAATCTTAAATAAAAAGTGGGCACTACATTTAACTTAATAAATGTCGTTTGAGAGGAGCATGAATAGTTTCGCTTATAGTAAAATTGAAAAAGAAGAAATAAAGGTAAGAAATAATTTTAAATCAAAAGTAAGACCCATAAGGGATAGTGTAGTTAATTCAAAGTAAAATGGAGTTTCAGAAGTCAATAATGAGGTGGAAATAGCGTAAGCCGAAAACATCCTCTTCGGAGATTTACCATAATAAAATCATAGCCATATTCTCCAACGTGAAATTTTAGAAGATTAAATTTAATTAAATCGGAACATTGCATAATAAAAATTATTTTTTGAAAATGCCAATGAAAATATGGTTATTTGGATTGACAAAAATTAATATCATCCATGAACTGCATATGAAAAAATACAAAGATGCCTTATCTTGCAAAATGATTTTAGTGTATACCTAGATATTCCTCTAACGTAGTACATACTCTGTGTAAAAGTATATCGCCAATATAATAAGAAAAAAAGATGAATTTTTTAATACAATAAATAAATATATTTGATATATATTTACCCTAATGAAATTAAAAATAAAAAGTTCACTGACAAAGTGAGCTTTTGAGATAAGTGAGACCACCCTTCATACTTGAGAAGGGGAGGTGGGGATTCGAATCCCCACTTTCTCAAGAGGACTAAGGGTGGGGATACGTAATTTCAGATATGGATTTTGACTCCCACACCTTGCAAGAGGCAAAACAAAAATTTAAGAGTGAGTTGAGAGTTAAAGTAGGATGGACAAAAAAAAAAGATAAGAGGGACAAAGAATAGATAAAGTTGTTATAAGATTAATAATGAAGAAGACATTTCAATTTTTTACTATATCAAAGAATGTCTTTTTTGGTTATTATTGGTGAGATAATTTTACACTGAGCATGTAAAACGTTATAGGAATTGTCACGCCCCGAAGCCCAACAGGCTCGCGACACCCCTTCGATGGCCGTATTGAACGCGACGTCCCAGGACGTGTCACCGACCCATACGAAACACGCAAAGACGTACACAAGCGGAAGCGAAAATTTAGCAACCCTGACGATAGTTAGTGACAAGAGATAGCACCACAGCATTCACAAATACACAACATCAAAAGGGAACAGGGATTGGGTAGCCTACTTCACTATACAAAAGAGGAGCATCCAAAGATGAAACGAAGCATCAAATGCCCAAGGTCACTTCCGGCCTCTGAACCGCACGTGACGACTATCCGTCACTCCAAACCTGAAAATGTTTAACAACGGGGGTGAGATAAATCTCAATAAGCAAACAACCTAAACCCAACCTAGGCCAATGCGTACCCAGACAAGTCTCAACGTGCAATCTAACCATCGACGTACTAGAAATCACATAGACATACTTACCTCGCTTCTAATCATGCGCCAACTCTGGATATTAGTCAAATCACTATGAGCAATAATATTCCAAGAACACATCACAATAACTCAAGCGTCATACACACGTGCGTTCATCCAATTCAATCAAGCACATTCCACATGCATGTCCATCTAACTATCCATGACCCGCGTAAACACGCCCCAGGCTCAGCATCCTCCAATGATCCGCGTAAACACGCCTCAGGTCTTTTCTTGCCTTTCTCGCCACACCCGCGTAACCACGCCTCAGGTTGGCAGCCCTCCGATCAATCCAGGCTTTTCAAGCAAACACACACGCCACTTAATTCAATCAATTTCACGTCTTTCACATAATCAAATATCACACAACCATTTCCCAACGACCACAACACCATTCACCATGCTTACGCCAAAAAGGCCACGGTTCCACCAATTCACGTTGCATTTCAACAAACACCTACGATCACCATAGAGCGATCACAACCAACCATTAATTCACCACATATGAACACAATTCAAGCATTGGACCACACGGGACAATCACATACTAAATTGATATTCTAGCCTCAACGGTCCCTCATACAATCACACTAAGCCACAACCCACGATAGGCGCGTTATCCCCGTCACGAATCATCAATACGAACTACCGTCAAACGACCATTAAATCACGCTCGAACGACCGACGATCTCGACATAAATTCCAGCACTAACGACCTCCAATCCAACCACAGAAATCAGCCATAAACCATCGCGATTCAGCCCACACTCCGGCCCAATCACTCGCCCCGAACCAGTCCATAACTCAGCCACCCAATCGCGCTAAACGGCCACCAAAACCTCGCCCAACAGCCCATGACAGCCACTATATCCACTACATTCAGCCCACACACGTACCCCTAAACAAGTCTAGCATTACCCATCCTCCTAAGTCTGGATTAGGAAGTCGCTTACCTCGACTTGAGCAAGAAACGGGGCTGGGCCGCGGGGAGGATCACCGGGACAGCGGCAGCGGGGATTCGACAGCAGCAAGGGCGAGCGGCTGGGTTCACGGTGGTGAGAAGCAGCAGCAGCAGCACGTGGCAGGGACCTCACCGGAACAGCAGCAGCTCCGGTGACGGCTGGGAAGCGACGGCGGCGGCTGGGCAGCGACGGCGACGGGAATGGGGGCGATGGGTGAGCCAAAGAGGACGAGCGAGAGGCAGAAACGGCAGCAGCTGAGGTGCTCCGCGGAACAGTGGCAGGGGCAGGGGCGACGACGGCGCAATGGCGAGCTGCTGGGGCGGATAGCAAGGCAGTAGCGGCATTGGAGGCTGGACAGGCGGCGAGCGGCGGATCTGGTCGGCCTCGGCTTCGACGCGACCAAAGGCCACGCGAACAGGGGAAGAAAAGGAAGAGGAGGGGCGACGGCGACAGCTCCGGTCTGGGACGAGCAGCCGACGGCGACGGCGACGGCGAGCTGGGCGAGCGCGCAGCCGGCGAGCTGGGGCGGCGGAGGCTCGGCCAGAACAGGGGAGGCAGACGCGTCGTCGCCGGAGCAGCAGGGGCGACGGCGGCTGGGGGGGGGGGGAGCTAGGATGGTGGCGGCGAGCCAGTGGGGGCGATGGCGGCCGGAACGGCGGCGTGCGGCGGTCGCGGGCGAGGCAGAACAGGGGAGGAGTCGGGGCGAAGAAAACAGGGGAAGGGAAAAGAGAGGGGGGTCGCGGCGGCGATGGCGCGGCCGGCGGCGGCGCGGCGGCTGGGCAAGCGGCGGCGCAAGGCGGACGGCCGGCGACGGTCGGGCGTCGGCGAACGGCGGTCAGCGGAGGGGAGCGACGAAGGAAGAAGAGGAAGAAAAGGAAGAGAAAAGAAGAAAGAAAGAAAAAGAAAAAGAAGGACAAGGAGGAGAGAGAGAGAGAGAGAAGACGTGAGCGTGAAGGGGGGGGGGGGGGGGGACGTGACCGCGCAGAGGGAGAAGTGACCGGGGGGGGAGAGAGAGAAAAGTCAAATGATGAGTGCGATCCAGCGGCCATAAATTGATCTCGTTGATTGATCTAACGGTCCCAAAAATCTCAATTCAAAATAAAGAAAAGACCAACAGACACCAAATAAAACACATTACGAGGTAGGTCTACTAGTCTAAATTTGCACCCGATCCAAATTTTACTTTTCACTTATCCCGGGCAATATCGAGGCTGGCCACAATAATATTGACATCGTCCAATTAAATTCGTCACGAAACTCTCAGAAATTCGACACCAAAGTTCGGGCTCTAAATAACGGCCAAATTCGATCAAATGCGATTATAGCGAAATCTCAAATTTAAAAATAACCCGAAAGTGATCAGTTCTGGGCGAGATTTTACTATAAGCACACTGACGAAATATACGTTTTATAAATCCCAAGAATGGGCCGAAACTCGGAATGTCACGTGAATATATAAGAATACACTTCTCTTGAGACTCTAAAAAGCAAAAAGTGGGAAATACTTAATTATGGTTAACTAGATCCTAAATAATAAAATAAACAGAAAAAACGAATGAATGGGGCCATTACTTTAATTTACAAGTGAGTGAATGATTGATGGGAATTTTGTCATTGTAGTGTAAATGTGGTGCATTTAGTCATTTTATGGGGTGAAAATAGCACCGATTGGTTTTTTTTTTCTTCATTGATCATCCCATTATTTCTATAAAAAGGGGTTTGATGGTAACATGCACAACAAAAGTGAAAGCATATAAAAAAGTCAATGTGTTAAAAAGTTATCTATGCTAAATTGTTTCCAGACTCTACTTAACAATTTGTCCCTAAATTTGATCAATAACGTAAAAAGAACTAGGTTTCTCAGAAATTTCTCTTATCGACAAAACTAATTTTTGTGGAAGTAATATCTAGCAATAAAAAAAAATATAGTGCCTTGAATATATATGGGAAAACCTTCCATTAACAAAAATTTCACAAGAAATCATAATCATGGTAAGTAGATTCTATATAGATATAGATAATCTAAAAAAGGAAAAGTAATTAAATTTGGGATCACCACTTTAAATTGCAATTAAATGATTGAGGGCAATTTTGTCTTTTTAGTGAAAATTAGGTGGATTTACTAGTAGAAGTGATCGATTCCCAGTCCGGTCCGGTCCCACCTAAGAACCGGGAACCGGACCATCTAGTCTTGGAAATAGACCGGACGGACCTAGGCGGTCCAATGGAACCGGTGGACAATGTGTTCGTGCCTCCCATGAACTTCCCAAATCCCCCAATCCTCAAGCTGAGAAAATTTCCAAGTCATTGATTCTGGAATGGGTTCGAAGGATGCGTTCGCGAACTTCCGAGGCCCGGACGTTCACGAGGGGATCCTGAAGAATCTACACAAGACTACGCCTCCTCTGAATGGTGTCTGAAAGAGCTGGTGAAGATCCTCGAGTGTAGCAAGCTCAAGGAACGGATGGTGATTACCGTAATTCTATAAAGTGAAGCCGAGCCAAGTGAGGCAACGGACCGGGCATTATGAAGAAGCCATGGCCAAGCATGAGCGGAGGCATGGCAAAGATTCAGACATGGTGGAGAAGTGGAGGCATGCTCTTTTCATTACTTCCATCTGCCCTGGATTGCATCTCGAGGACAATTCGTAAGTTTCTGATACACCCTCTCTAGATTCTGTCTTTTCCTGGGCCTAGCATTCTATCTTTCCTCCTGTTTTCTTCGATTTTTTTTCCCGATCTTTCTATGTCGCCGTTCATCACAGCGGTGGAAAGAGATGGGCAACAAGGACGAGGAGGTGTGGGCGACGAGCAACAACTAAGCAAGGTGGTGTGGATAGGGGTAGGATGCACGTATACAGGGAGAGAGATCTCTTTAGAGAGGATGAAGAATGTTTATTTTGATTTCTCTATTAAAAAAAAAATCAGTCCGGATGGTTTGGTCGGTCCGATTCGCACCTTGAAATCGGGAACCGGACCACCTGCCACCGGTTATAATTTTATGGAACCGGAAATCGGACCGACATTCTTGGAAACCGCTTCGAACCGGGTGGTTCCCGGTTTAGATGGTCCGTTACACACTCCTAGTTATATAAATGGTGGAAATAGAGCCAAAAGTTGAGTCAAAAGACTTGAAACCCTAATAGCTCTCTCGAGTCTCATGCGCACGTCGCCTCCACTCAGCTCGACGCTCAATCTCGCAGTGCGGTCTCATCTCGAGAGTTTACTCTTGCTCTTGCCTCTTCTCCCCAGTTCAACAGCCGATCGTGACCGCAATCGCATCTCATCAAGGTAAATACTCAATGTTTTGTTTTTGGCCCTTTTTTGTACAAAGTAGAGGCTAGTTGAGATTTATGTGAAATACTTTTCAATTTAGGATTTGTTAGCGATCTTCACTTATTTTGATGTTGTTGTGATATGCTTAGATCGTAATAATTTCTTCGATGTTGCGTTTAGATCTCCTCTCGAATTGATCACTGTGTATTTGTTAAAATGCCAGACTGAAATGCATGTACAAATCTTCGAAGTAAGTTTTTCCAAGAGACAAAAGACTCAGATATATTTTACTAAAAATTAGAGTCAAACATAAACAAGTGTCGTAAACTTGAGTTACTATTGACCAAAAAAAAAATTGACTTACCCGAAACTTGAAAAAGGATCGATTTTGAATTCCGTGAGTCGGATTGAGTAGCGCACGGGTGCCGGCGAGCTTAACACCCCTGATAGAAGGGGCTCAAGAGGGTTGAGTTTCTCTCATTTCTCCACCATCTCTCGATCTTGTCGAGCCCCAAAACGCTATTGCTTGACGACCCTTTGGAGAAACCCAGGTAATCTTCGCTTCGTGCTTGAAGATTTTCTCGACCCCTTTTCACTTCTTGCTCATTGGTCTCGTCAATGCGGTCATTGTTTGTCTTGCGTGCGACAAATTTCGATTTTTTTTCTCGGTAGTTTGTGTAATGTTTAGTTTAGCTTGTATTAGGGGCAGAGATATGCGTGAATGAGGCTGAGGCTGATGCTGAAGCATTTGGGATCTCTTAGCTTTTGGCAGCCTGAGTTCGTGTCATGTTCTTGATGTATTGGAGTGAAATGGCTTGTGGGTGCTTGTTGCGGTGATGCAATTCGTGGGATTGATGGCGGATTGTGGGTATGAAATCAATTTCTGAAAGTTCTGTGATGCTCTTTTTTTCAGGGTTTTCTTGTCTCACCGGTATTATAACCGGAGGGCTTGTGATTGATCTACCAAGAGTTGTATTCAGAGTTGGAAGGGCCTTTGTCGTCTTCTTTTAGTTTAATCTTCAATGATGGGAGAGAATGATGAGGAAATGGATGCAACCGTTCTAGTTTCGAGTAAGTACAGGGAATTGATTGGCACTCAAGATTTAAGCTGCAAATGGTTGTGCAATCTGCCTGATGAGATTCTCCTACGCGTCCTAGATTTTCTATCGACGAGAGATGCGGTGAGAATGAGTGTGTTGTCGAAAAGGTGGAAGCACTTGTCGAAGTCGATTCCTAGTCTCATCTTCGATGAAGAAGATTTCTTCGAGAAGTCGCGGTTCTTAAACTTTGTGGAAGGAGCATTGTCGTTTCGTGACCTGTCTCCTTTGAAAGCTTTTTCTCTTTCATGTTATGTGGACAATGACGAATCTCGCATAAATACTTGGGTCGATGCTGCGATAAGACGCAAAGTTCAGGAGCTTCACTTGTGCCTCCTTGTAGAAATACATTCTCCTGTTAAGTATACGTTGCCCTGTTGTATATTCAGGTGTGAAACACTGGTAAAGTTCCATCTTGAAATGCTTCATAATTTCAGAGTTCCTTCTTTAGTTTGTCTTCCAAATCTGAAGGTCTTAACTCTAGAATATGTTGGATTTGGGGATGATAATTCATTCGAGAAGCTGCTTGCGTGCCCTTCCCTCGAGGAGTTGTCTCTTAAGAATTGCAGGGGCCGGCAAATCAAGGTTTTGAACATTGGTGCTCCCAATCTTTTGAAATTGACGATAGTTCAATATGACTTTTTTCCGGGTTTGAATAGAGACTGCCAAGTACGGATTCATGGAGCTAGAATCAAATCCTTACACTATTCTGGTCATTATGGTGGTGGTGACCATACCATATCATGTCCATCGTCACTAGTTGAAGCTGTCATTACAGTGTTTTATCCAGCAGAGGAAATACCTGATCAATGTGCCGACCGTGTATTTAAGCTCTTAAAGGATCTTTCTAATGTAGAACATCTTACTTTATTTTACGAAGGCCTTCAGGTACGCTTTCCTGTTTTTATCTTCAAATCTTGTCTTTATCGTTCATTTCTTTGGAGCAATTTATTATGTTTCGGATTACTGTTGTCCTGGAATTCACTATATTTTGGGCTTTCTTATCAGGATATGAATGAGAGACAAGATCTCTTCGACTCTTTTCCAGTCTTCCGTAGCCTTACCCAATTGAAGTTGGACATCAGACCGACGTACTTAGATTGTAGAGCGCTTCAGGTCATGCTCAGCCAAAGTCCTTGTCTGAGAAGTCTCGTGTTTGCCGCGGTAACTATCCTGTAATTATTGATTCTCATCCCTTTTTCTGTTTTGGCTTGTGCTATAGAAATTTTGGAGATTAAGCCAGAGCTGAGTGATACATATATCTGATATAGGGCTTGATCGAGGACTCTGGAATCGATGGCTGGACGCTCGACCCAGTGCCTCAGTGTTTTCTCTCGTCGCTTAAAGAGATCAGGATTTGCAACTTCATTGCAGATGACCACGAACTCTTAGCTGTGAGAGTTCTACTTAGGACTGCTGAAGTTTTGGAGAAATTGTTTATACATTGTTCTCGGGGCTATAGGAAATACTTTCAAGGGAACTTGAGGAAACATTTGATGAAGCTTCCTCGGGCTTCAGATCGATGCGCGATTTTGCTAGACTTCAGGGAGGAGTGCAGTGCATGCTCTGGGGAGTTTGATTTGTTTGGATTATTATAATAGCTGTCTTTGCTGAAATTAGAACGTCTTCCTGAAGTAGGACATCCATCATTTGGCTATAGGTGAAATCATGCTCTCATCACTGGTTCTTCAAGTTCGCCTTTTTGGAGGACCAACTGCACCGCTTCCGTCTTCATTCATAACGCCATCAAAATAGATCGTCCATTGTTCAGACATAGGCGACACAAAACAAGGGTGTCAATAAGATGGATCATTGGTATCAACTATCAAGTATCATGTCGATGTTGTTGTGATCGCCATAAGGGAATACCGAAATCTCCGGCTGGTGAATTGCGTACTGGAAATAAGGGAGTGACATAGGTGGGCATACCAAGTTTGTACATATCGTGGACGTGTTTATTTAGCTAATGATGAAATAAGCTTGGTTAAGTGTTGCACTTCATCGAAACTGATGCTATGATTCTTTCAGCTCTATCATTTGTAGTTTCAACTTATTGAGGCCCACCCACCAATACAAACCGTAGTTTCTACACCCAACACCATTGGCTCAGCCACTACCGCATGGGACATGAAGCCTAAAATCATTTCTTTCAGGAGAAGTTAACACAAATGGTCTTTGAATTTGACCTAATATGCAATGTGAATTTTGAACTTTTAATTTGTTTGATGCGGTTCTTGAATTGTTGGTGAATATTCAACGTTATCCTTCTATTTGCTCATATGACAAGTCGGACGATATTTGATGACTCGAATTATTATATGTTAAGTTGGATTTTTAAATATGACATGTTAACATATCTCTCATTTTATCCATCTACTTTAGAAAAGGAAAAGAAATTAGAACGTTAATATGTCCATCATTACTTGTTGACACCTATTTTTAATTGTCCAAAAAAATTAATTACACAAAATTTAGGGGTTAATGTCCTTAATTCCTAAACCAAAATATATATTTTAATTTCAATTGCATTGCATATAGACAAAGGTACATTTTGCATTACTAAGAATGTATTTTTCTTTAAAAAAAAACTTTTAAAAAATTAAAAAAAATCAAAATCAGATTGGGCCGGGCCGAAGCCAACCCAACCCAACCTTCTCTTCTCCCTCTCTTCCGCGCGGGATTGGGCCGGCCCTGCCCGGCCCAGCTCGGCCCAGCTCAGCCCAGCCGTTCCTCCTCCTTCCTTGCGCAAGCCAGCTCTCCCTTTCTCTCTCTCGCGCGACGAACGACCGCCAACCACGGCCTTCCCCTCCGCCAGCGCACGGCCCAGCCATTTCCTCTTTCGCTCAGCTCAGCCCAGCCCCTTTCCCTCTCTCCTCTTCCTCTCCTCGTTGCCATGGAAGTGAGATGCAGAGGAGCAAACATCTCCCCTGCACCGGCCTAAAACGGCCACCAAAGTCAAGCCAACAGAGTAGGCCGGTGCAGGCCGTGGCAGAGCGATTTAATGGAGCAGAGAGTGACGTCGTCGTCGGCTATACAGGCCAGCGAGAGGAGAGAGAGAAGTGGGCTGGGTTCGGTTTTGGTGAGCAAGAACAGAGAGGCCGTGAGGGAGACTCAGAGAGATTGAGCGAGACAGAGAGACTGAGAGCTCTTCCGGCGACCGCTGTGCTCGTACCGCGGCCATAAAGAGAAGAGGAGAGGGAGCTCTGCAGGGGGAGACGGTCCAGTTCGGTTGGCCTTTTGAAGAAAGGGCAGCGCACAGAGAGAAACCGAGAGAGAAAGGGAGAGATTGAGCGAAAAAGATCGCTCTTTTCATCTGGAGGTTGAAGAACCAAGTCACAGGAGCCTCCTCGTTGAGCCAGAGTCGGCTGCGATCCACTGAGCTGACGCCTCGACCGGTAAGTCCACTCAGCCTCCGTTTTTCCCCTGTTTCTCCCCTGTTTTTGTGCGTCGATTGGCCGGGACTCGCGCCGGCCGTTAAACGCGAATCCCAGCCCATACTGATCCTCCTCCCGGTCCATAGTCGCCGTCAGGATTGATCTGTGGCCGCCGGAGTAAGCCGGAGTCCTGAAACAGGTCGGAGTTCCCTGTTTTTAGTCGTGCATACCACCTATTTGTTAAAATGCCCGAATGAGATCCAGTTTTATCCCTTTGTTTTCGCCGAAATTGAAGCCGACCGGAGAACGACGACTCACGTGGAGATCGAGTCTCGGTCTGGGCTGCCTAGGGCGACGCCGGAACGAGGCGTTTCTGGGTCGAGATGCGCGGCGTCTCAGTCGCCTCCGGCGAGTCTCCGCAGTGTAGGGAAAAACAGAGCAGGAGGAGCCAGGTCTGTGAAGGGGGAGGAGTCGGGTCGGATCCGGGTCAACGACCCGGGTTGACCCTGACCCGGTTCGGATCCGGAGATCCGACTCGGGTCAACGCGATGGGTCGGGTCCGTTGACCCGACCCGGATCCGCCGACCCGACCCGACCCGGTTTTAATATTATATTTTTATTTTATTTTATTTTTAAAAAAAAAATTTAAATTTTTTTTTAAAAATAAAAAAATTTAAATTTTTTTTCTTTTTTCTTCCGTATTTACTTCTTATTTTTTTTAAAAAAAATTTAAAAAAAATTTCTTTCTAAATTATGTTATATATCCGAATGTTTTAATTTATTATTGTATTATTATGCATGTTGTTATAATTAAAAAAATTGTCATGTTTAAATTAGATAAGCCTATAGGGTTATGCAGTATATTTTGCATGTCTTTTTTTTACTACTGTTTTGTTATTATTATGCATGTTTTTAATTAAAATGTAATTACATGAACTGTTGTGTTTTGAATGTCATCTGACTTAGTTAGGGCTAAAATCTTAGGCTGCATATCTATTTTGACGGCTAATCGTTTATAATTATGCACTCGTTTGACTACCTCACATGTTAGGAGAAAGGTCCTAAAATCAATCCAAATTGCCTGACAAATATTTTCAGAAATGAATAACGGTAAAAAGGTACCGAAAGGGCATTAGTTATCCAACTAATGTAACTAAGTCCTAGAACTCATTTAATCTCTGATTCGTAGGAATAGGGTGATTCTCCCATCACCTTATTCGGGTTTCTAATCGACCCACTCCAAATCGATTAATGGCGACTCCTTGATATAAACTACTTGCATGTTAACAAACCTAAACCCTAAGTCGCGATATGGTATCGGCTTGGGAGACCCCGAGTTAAGTCCCGAACCTAGACTTAGCACGTATCAGGTGAGTCCCCCCTTTTTGCATGTTGACAATAAAAAAAGCGAGGTCGGTCGCGACATTACTCGAGGACAAAGATTATTACATCCTGAATTGAGATGAATATACTACGTGAATAATCTATGTATAACTTATTTTTTGTTCATCGTTCAAATTTAACATATTGAAAGTTACATTAACGGATTCCATTTAACTTGAATTAACAGAAACACAACATTGAGTATTTTTATATAGTCTAGGGATTAGATTGAAGTTTTCCCAGTATTTCAGGGACTACATTGAACAAATTAAAAGTCTATAGTCGATTATACATTGGTTGGCAAGTAAGGCAAATAAAAATTGGTTGGTGATCTAATCGTAGAATAGGATTGCTAAGTAAGGCAAATAAAAGTGTCAACTCAACAAAAAAGTTAGTTCGACCAAAAAAAGAAAGTTTGTAAATTAAAAGAACAAATAAACGTTGGTAAAGAACTCAAATAAGAGTTGGTAATCTGAAATTATTTGGTAACCTAATCGGTAAAAATTTAATGCGTTGCTAAGAAAGGTAAATTTAATGCGTTGCAAAGAAAGGGAAATAATAATTGTTGAAACATAAGAGCAGTTTTTCTTTATCAAAGAAAAGAGAAGTTGGTAAATTAAAAAGAAAAAACCAAATTAACTTTGGTCATTGATCAAACAAAAGTTTGTAACACAAAACTAGTTGGTAATTTGATTAGAGAACAATGGGAAAATTATCAAAAAAGTCAAACATATTGCATTTGTGTAAATTCAATCCTAAACCTTTTAATTTGACCAATTTAATCAATTTAGTCCTAAACCTTTCAATTGTGCCAATTTAGTCTTAAAGCATGTGATAATTTGTCAATTTAGTCTCAAACCTTTTGAAGATTTACCAATTTATTTATTCCAGTCAATTTTCGCCAAAAATCACTAACATAGCGGTCTAGTTATCCCCAACCGTCCAATGTGGCGTGGCCGGCGTCGACAAGGACAATTTTTGTAATGTTGTAATTTTTTTTGAAATTTTTAATTATTTTTCTTTTTTACTCTATTTTTTTCCACCTTGAGCTGGCGAGGTCGTTGGCCACAGGCGAAGGCCAACAACCCTCGCCTCGACTAGGCAAGGGTTGCGGTCCTCGTTGGCCCAAGGTTGGGAAAACAAAAAAGAAATTTTTTTTTGAAAATTTAAAAAATTGTAAAAATTATCTTAATTAATGCCAGTTGTGCCACATAGGATGATCGGCTTTGACTAGACCGCCATGTTAGCTATTTCTGGCCAAAATTTGCCAGAACGACTAAATTCGCAAATTATTAAATTGTTTATGACTAAATTGGCACATTTTGAAAGGTTTACTTGGCAAATTGTCAAAAGGTTTGGGATTAAATTGATCAAAATTTTGCTAAAAAAAATGTGCAAATGAAAATGTCTTGGACTAAATTGGCACAAGTGAATATGTATTAGACTTTTTTGATAATTTCGCCGAGAAAAATTGGTAACCATTCTAATTGAGAGAGTTGGTAAATTTAAAAAGTCAATTAGTGAAGCAAATAAAACTGGCAACTCAATAAAAAAATTGATGAATTGAAGGGAAAAATATATATATATATATATATATATAGTGTAAACAATTCAAATGAGAGTTAATAACCCAAAAACCTGTTAATAATTTAATTAGAAAAAAAAGTTTAGAAGTGACGCAAACAAAAGTTGATAAGCTTAAAGTTGGTAGATTTAAGTCGATCATAAGAAAGGTAAATCAAAGTTGGTAAATAATAAGAGAAACTTTTTTTAACCAAAAATTGGAGAAGTTGATAACTAACTCAAATATGAGTTGGTAAAACAAAACTAGTTGATAATTTAATTGGAGAAAAGTTTATAATCACTCTAATTGAGGTTGATAATTCCTAAGAACAGTTAATATATTTTAAAGTTGACAAGTAAATTAAAATGGTAATTCAGCATAAAAGTTGGTAAC